ATCGATGAAGTGAGACCTCCCCTCACGCCCAGTCCCCCTTCAGACCTGGAGCAGAGCTCTCCACCAGCAGTCAGGGACAGATATTCATTTGGTGGTCTCTAAGGCCAACCAATTTTCAGTATTTTATGCTGAATTAATAGTTCCAAAAAGATAGACCAAGATAATGTATTTCAAAGTAACCTGTAAGAAGGAAGCCTGGGACCTTATCATGGTGATATCCAGCTGGCTTCTTGATGGACGTGCAACCAGGTTTAATTTCCCTGATCAATTCAAAACTGGTGAATGTCTACACAGTGCCAGTGAAAGTGATAGTTTTATCCATGTAACCAGCTTGATAGGGAAGGTATTATCTCATGTAACTAGACAGAAAACTACAGCCTAATTAAGGCATACATGCATGCCAGACTCTGTTTATGGGCAGCTCAAAGTCACATCTTATCAGTCATCTCAAATGGCCACTGATAACGAAAACAATAAACAGTGTGGGAAATAACATGATCAGCATTAATTAGGGAAGCCAGAAGGGTTTACAGCAGAATTTAAAGTGTTATTTGAACTTCCATTGCTTTTGCAAAATTGATTTTTCTGTTTCCCCAGCCCTAGCTTAATGCTAGCTAAGGAGAAGCCTGACTATAGACAGATGTTCTTTGCAGCAGACAGGCACTGTAGTCCTTTCTTCAGAAATATGTGGCTTTTAGAAGTAAAGCTGCTGTCCCACTTTGGAGCTGAAGAACCCCTATTGCTCTCAAGTTACTCTTCTAAGACGAGACATCAGGGAAAGAAAAGGGCTGATTCTCCTTAAACTTTATGAAAAAGAGCATTCTCTAATCACTGGGTTTTCAACGATAAGAGGAAACAATAGTACCTGTGATCTCTGCACAGTGTACAACCCAGCAGACCAATGTGTTAAAGGAATGTCTGAGTGCATTTCCTGAGCATGAGAGGCTGGTGACAAGTTTAGTTTGTAAATCCTTCAGACTTTCACCACAGCTTTTGTTTTGATGTCCCTGCATCAAAGCTCATTAGCAGGAATGTAACTTTATGCATACCTGAAAGTTAAGCAAAGGTCCTGTGGCACTTTCACATCTGAAAAAATAAGTCATTTAAGTTCATTAAGTTGGTAAGTGTTCTACCAGATCCTGCAATGTCCAAACAAACCACTCTGATACTCTGTATTCACTGACAAACTCCCTAAATCCATGGGGTAGGTGTTTAAGTGTAATACAGTTTCTAAAACTGTTAAGAAACAACCTAATTTAGTTATAAGAGTTTTTCTGGAGCTGAGTCACTCTGGCGAAGCTTGGTTAACATGCATCAAAACAGAAAATGTGATCATCCAGGGAAAATCTGTGTAACATGGATTATATTCTTAATTTACACTTGGTTCAGAGAGAAATCCTTCCTTACTGCAAGCCACAGTGCTGATGTTGGCAAAACTTCTGGTGGTCTTGATGACTAAAAGCTGACCCAGCTTTTACTAGAAAGCACATCTGACAGTATTATTGGCAGCTCTGCTTTTGGCTGAGGCCTTGGTCAGTAATGCTGCTGCTTCAGCTTGAAACTACAGCACCACTGGCACTTATCCCAGGAAGCATGCCAGCTTCTGATGGGTACTGACCACAGCAAAATGAGACTTCCCAGAAGAAACAGTGACTTGCTCATGTCCCAGAAGAAACAGGGATTATTTTTTGACATGATGACATAAGTGAAGCATCTAGCTATTTTCAGTAGACATGGGAATGTGTGTGATATGTAAACAAACAGATGCATTTATATTTGCACTAAAAGTTTAAAACTATCCCTCACACATTGGTGTAAGAGCTTTGGATCATTGATATGAAAGTACAAAATGGGTGAGCAGTCAGAAAACTTCCTAAAAAACAAAATAAATCCAAACAGATTTGTATTTGAAACATACCTTACAATGGTATAACATCTGCTAAACAGGATTCAAACTATCTAGAAGCAGAACAGCTGCAGTGTGATATATAAGAGCAAAAATGAAAATAGAAAGCTAACCTTGGTTGAAACTTACGATAAACATCTTATTGTGCAGACACGTGAATCATCTACAAGCTTTCAATCTCTCTTGTGAAGACAAAGAGACAACATTTCTAATGAAATGAACTTACATCACTTAGCAAACATTAAATGTGCAATACATCTGTTACAAAAGTCAGTGCTATTTACCCAGTGTGACACAGGTGCACAAAAATACACCCAAAGACTTAAACCACCAATCTACTTGCAAGAAGATGCATAAATAAGGCAAAAACTTTTACTAGATCATGTCCAAATGGAACAAGAACTCCCATCTCCAAGAGTCACCTACCCAAGTGGTCCCTCTCTCTGGGAATATTTCTTAATGCTCAAGATATAAATAAGCTGATCGATCCCCATCTGTCACGACAGTTCATGGTTGCCAGGGGAACAATCTGAAAAGCAGAGCTTGACTAATGGTATCAGGTAACACAGCCCTTACCTGAAACAGAGAAGGCCAAACCTTGGGCTTTCATTACGGATGAAGGAAACACCCATGAAAAAAGAAGCAAGGTTTTTCCCTGCTAGGTTAGGCAAACCAGCTCCACAGAGATCTCTGCAGCTTTCATTTAACTTAGAGCAATGAAATCTTAGCTGTCTCTGTGTTTGAGCATAAAAGCAAACATAGGTTTAAAAAATTATATAGGTTAAGCAATCATAACAGGTTTCCAGGCATTCTGTTAATCACTTCCTTGTCACAAGCATGCGGTACACATACCACACACAGCATCCACCTATTACAGTAAAGCCAGAGTAGCTCTGTGAAGGTTACAGCTCTGCTTTTCCTCAGATTTCATGTTGTAATGGTTGCTATGATTAAATGTACCCAATAGCAAATACAACTTTTGTACTTCATGGGAGGGAAAAGAAAGTTACTCTTTTAGATAATGGATCCATTTGGCCCATGAGTAATAAGACTATTTTTACTCCTGCAAGGAGCCCCCACTTGTTTGATCGAACCTGATGGAAACAAGCGTGTTTCTTCACACCTCTGCTGTCCCCAGGCACAAGATTTTGTACAGAGGTCAGTATGAAGTTCACTCATTAACAGCATACTAAAAGCAGCATTTTACTTCGGTTCTCCTGAGCAAACAACAGGCTTATGCCAAGTAAGGTTCTCACTCACACCTAATGACCAAAGCTAAAGGTGATCCTTTCTAAATAAGATCAAAGATCTACCCAGACACTTCCACACATCATCTCATTTTCAAACCTTCTTCTCCTCTAGCAATTCCTTTCCTCCCTGAATACAAGTAACTTAATTTCTTCAATAATACAGCTTTAGATGTTTTACTCCCTGTTTCCTTTCCCCTATTCTGTTTCAAATATGTTTACTTTTACCTTTAATTGACAGGGCCAGTTTCTAATTTAACTTTCCACTAATGTGAAAGGGGTAAAGATTTTATTCATTACAAAATTTGCATTTATCTGTTCTACCATTTCCATGTGTCCCACCTTTACTCCCCCTGTCTTCTTAATGCCTTCCACATGTTTTCACGCAGGTACAACCAGACTATTAACAACAGCTCTTTCCCAAATCCCTGCCATTATTTAGAGCTGACCACACCACTGCTACTGCCAGCTGCCCAGAACTTTGGGGCTAGTCTTTCAGCTTGTAATAAGTCCCAGACTGGTGAGGTTGTGGCAACACGAAGATGTTGTTATGTTTCAAGATACCCTAATCATTTTAAAGAATCAGTTCATAGCACAGCCAACATAAATTGTGGCTAGATGTGCCAAACCTTGATCATAAATGCTAGTAAAAAATCAGTAGGTCTATTAATTTACTGAAACTTTTGTAATATGTATGCAGATTTTTTTCTTTCATCAACTGATGCAGAATGAAGTATCTATATCAAGACACTTGCTAGTCACTTGTGTCGCTTGCTGAAAAAAGCCCCAATCTTTCAAGTTTTCTTATTGTCTTCACTTGAGTTCATAGCTCATCCCACTAAACAGCAATTGTACCCACATTTCATACAGTCATCAGTCAGCAGGAGTGAGCAGGAGCATTTCATCCACCTGTTTAGGCTGCCCTGCAAACTCCTTGTTTGATGAGACAGCATAAATAGTTAGAATCACTTATAGTTCAGGAGAAAACATGCAAAATTTTGCACAGGCAAAGATGTGGGAAGCAGTCCAGGAAAGAGGTTACTCTTGTCATCTCTCATTAGGTGATTGCCCCTTCAAAGGACCGAGTTTCTGGAATCCCCGCTAATCTGGAATCCCCGCTAATGCTGTTGCGTAAATGGTTGGTGGCAGGGTCACACCCAGGGTACTGCAGAATCACTGCCTGTCACCTGCTCCCCGTGGCACATCAGTTTGGAATAACTCTCACCTAATCAAAAGGTGTAGGTCCACACTCTGAGCCTGTAAGTGCACCCTTGAGCGCCTGCACTGGCACTCAGCCAAACGAATTCACCCAGAGCTGTCTAAAGTTATACAACTGTTTACATATTTTATGAAAACATTTTATCTTCTTTTATGAGACATTATCTGCCTGTCTGTGGCAATTTACGTGCTTCACTCCCAGCCCATTTCTAAATCATCTGGAGTGAAGAGCCTAAGTGGAAAGCCCTACTTTCATTTACAATCTGAGCAACTGCTTCTAGTAATTGAAGTTCAGAGAAAATAAGATACTTTCTAGGTTTGTCTTACTTTAACAGGCTTCTCCAGCAAGCACTCATAATATAGGCAAGATTATAGATCAATTTTGTAAACAGATCCCCGAAATTATGTTGTGACATTTTTCCACTGTTAGAACAAGCAATGCACAGGTCTGCTGTTTCCAAGTGCCACTGTCAGTACAGGATAGGTAAATTCCTCTTTTTTTTTTCTTTCTTTTTTTTTCCCCTAGGTTAGTCTGGTCGTCCCAGGCTCCTGAGGAGAGCTCTCAGAGTGGTGTGGCAGGCACCCATGTCTCTAAGCCGTGCACTCCCCACTGAATGGGAGCAGACTGGGTGCCTCCCAGGGTCACTGGCACCCCAGGGGCCTGCCTGGAGAGCCGAGCAGACCAGGGCTGGCACTCGATGAGGTGGCTGGGCCTTGGCATGGAGATGCCAGCGTGCTGACCCACACCCTGCCCAGGGAGGTGTCGGGCAGCCCCTCACTGCCGCCCCACGCACTGCGGCCTCGCCTTTGTGTGAGCTCCACCGTGTTTACTCTCCCACTTCCTTGTTCCAGTCCAGTGTGAGGGCCATAAACCGCCCGGCTGAGCCCTTGGTAGCAGGGGCAGGAGGAAGAGGAGGGAGGGGGATGGCGGTCATCCCCTGGCTCTGTGCTGGGAGGGTACCCCAGGTGCCGCCGTGGTGGTTGGGAGCGCAGCCCTTCCTCTAGGGCTGGTGCCACCATCCACGGTGGGTCTCTCATGCCCACTGGCCACCCTCATGCCGGTGTCCAGGGGCACACCAGGAGAGAACAGGACCTATTTTCCCTTCTTCTCGGACTTCAGGGGCCACAATGTGACGGCCCTGCGCATCGGCGAGTCATCTGCCCTGGCCTTCATCTTCCTGCTGTCGTTGGCGGGAAACATCTGGGGCATCGTCCTGCTGGTGAGGCGGCACCGCCGGCTCTGCGCCGCCAACTGCCTCGTCCTCAACCTCTTCTGCGCCGACCTGCTCTTCATCACCGCCATGCCCATCATCGCCGTCGTGCGCTGGACCGAGTCCTGGCTGCTGGGCAACGTCGTCTGCCACCTGCTCTTCTATGTGGTGAGCCTGAGCGGCACCGTCATCATCCTCTCCCTGACGGCCGTCAGCCTGGAGCGCGTCGTCAGCATCGCCCGGCT